GACCATCACACTACCACCACCATGCTTGACTTTTCTCTTCCTGAAATTCTGTTTGTTTCAGACCAAATGAAACGAAACGCACACCTTCCAGAAAGTCCCACTTTTGTCTCTTCATTCTACAGAATATCTTCACAGAGGTCTTCGGGTTCATCCAGGTGTTCTTTGGTAATTGTGAGAAGGGCCTTTGTGTTCTTTTGGGTCAGAACCCTAAGCCTACCCTGCAGCGCTTTAGATGTTCTCCTGAAAAGGACAACACTCTTGCAGGTCTTAGCCTACTTCATGTCGTCATACAGGTTCCATTTAAGTGATTTCTTGATTTTTCAGGTCAGGCCAGAACCAGGCCTGGGGGTAGCTGGTGGAACCAACATAATTCATGATGGAATGAGGGGTATGGCATACGTATGAAATATTGGTATGACATGGAGAAGGAGGGAATGGACCCATAACCCCACATGGATGGATGGGATCCCAGCAGAACATTTTCTAAACTGACTCTGTCTTCTTCTGTGGTCCAGATCTAATTGTAGGAGCTTTGGTTGGTGGACTCAGGTTAGCTTCAACCCCCTGACCAATCAGAAGGTTATGTCTAAAACATAACATCATTAAAAATAATTAGACCTGAAACAAAGTGGAACACAGAGAAGAAACAACTGGAGGTTCTGCAAACCCCAGCAGAGAAAAACCTGCTGGGCTCCACGTTTTCTCCTGCCTGCTGCTTTAAAATCAGCTCCTAATTTTTCATCTGACAAAACAAGACTGAGCAGTAGAATACAGAGAGAAGAGGCTGGAATAAGTAAAAACTAATTAATGTAAAAGCCTCGGGAGCTTTAATGAGGAGGATTTAAAGGTGAGGGAGCTGGAGGAGCTCCTCAGGCAGGTAAGACACAGGTTTCCCAACATGAATAATGAATGAAATGTCAGAGCAGAGCAGATGATGTTAAATATAGACAGCTGAGAACAGAGGACATAAATGAAGACCTAAAGTTCAGAGCCGAGGAAAATCATCTCTGTAAATGACTCACATGTCGCTTTTCTCCTCCTGAATAATGAAACACATCCGGAGATTTAATTAAAACACACGAAAGCTTCCAGGATGGAATAAAAACTCTGATCCGGTTCTAAATGAAGGAACACAATTATCCAAACTAAAACGTGACCTGGAGTCCAAGTCCATACAAGAACTTTCATCTAGGACTAAAATCCAGAACCACCAGGTAAATATTTCAGCAGAACATATCGTTGGGTTTTAACCACTAAAACATCTAATGAAGTGATTTCAAATACGTCCATTAATGTTGTTATAATACCAGAAAATATTCTCATTTCATTTCTCCCATAAAAAGGAGAGGAAACCGACCCAAACCCAAAGTGATCGGAAGATTTAGGCTCATCTTTATTTGAACACATCCTATTAAAACCAAGCAGAATTTCTGAATTCCAGTTTAAAATCAGAAAAGAATAATGGAGAAAACAGCAGGCAGAAAATAATGAACTTGGACCCCCACCGTACCCGTCCCCCAGATACCGGACCATAAACTTCAAACGATTTTTACTCACAGAACAGAAACAGACACTGGACAGTCCGGTGGTGCTATTAGGGTAGGAAAGGTTGCTGGATGGACCCAGCTGAACCTCTGACATTGTGGCAGATTTTGACCCAGCAGCAGTAAGTTGGATAGAGAAAAAAAGAAGAGAAAGCCTCCTAGCCAGAACAGGACGAAAGGAAATGGTGGACACATCATCTTCACGAGGTCAGCTCCAGATCCCGAACTTAACCAGGAGGTCCAAAACAACAACTGACAGAAACCGAGAGCCGTTTGGTTGTTTGTTCCTGATAACCAGCCTGACTTGGTCATTCTGATCAAATTACTTAGTTAATAATTGCCTTTGGCACCAATTAGTTATTCATATTCAAACCAAAGTGAGGACATCTATTTGGAACATCATGGGTTAAAAAGACGAATCAGGTAAAGAGGTATTTATGGTAGAAATGATGATTATGTTCGGGTCAAACCGAGCCTGAATCAGAATCTCTGGTATAAACAGAGTATCTACCTGCAGGCAGCTGCTGAGTTTCAGCCTAAATGTATTTGTTCTGTTGATAACTGCAGGATGCAGCTTTCAGTCCGTCTGAGCAGTATTTTACCCCTGGTTCCGTCAGCACATGAAGTTCTGCTGTAAAACATACAGAGGTCCATCGGGTCGAATAATTTTCTCTGATTTCTTAGTGACATTTTGATCACATTTGTCCTACCGGGCTCTGACCAGAACACGGTTTCTATTCGTTTTTCTGGCTGTGATTTGACAAAGAGTTTGATAAGGCAATTAGCCATGCCGGGACCTCCACCGTGCCCCAAAGGCCTCAGCTCTGTGGTGCTGAAGGTTGGTCTGGAGGAGGAACAGTAGTACTTCTTCAATACAATCAGGTCCAGCTCCTCTCAAAGATCTCTGCTCTTCCATCATTTATGAAACCAAACTGAGATCATTTCCTCTATTCCTGCAGATGAGTCAAAAAGCCAATTAAAAAAGTCCAACAAGATAAAATACAAAAAGAGGAAAATAAACCTCCGATTCTATTTCTGGCCATCTTTAGAAGCGAGTTACTGAAGATCTTTCTCTGGACTTCTGCTTTTGGCAAATAAAATGCATCTAAAATAAAGAGGTGAATGAATGGATGGATGGACGGACGGATCGATGGATCAAACAAAAATAACAGACATTCAGTTTAAAATGACAATAAAACCCGACTTCCTGACCAAACAAAGCCAACATCGCTGCATAGCTTTAAATACAATTAAAATGTATAAATAATAAATGTTCTGGATCTAATTATCTAATCTTAGAGAATCTATGGTGAGAACCTCAAACTTTGTCCTTTTTTGAACAGAAAGGATAAACATGGAGGCTGCAGACACCAGAAGATCTAAACAGGTCAGACATGGAGATGAGAGAAGGATCATGGAATCGGTTCTTCTGAGTTAAAGATGCAACGTCTGTCAGTCAGAAAGAGCAGAAATTATGTTTATCTGCTTTAATAAATATTTTTTCATCAAGCTTTTCTCAACTTTTAATTCAACTACTAACAAATTAAGATAATTTATGCTTAATTTCCAATTATTCTTTTATTATTTCTTCAAAGTTTATATATGTATACTTGCTGCCTGACTGCTGGGAGCACTGGAAACCAAAGTCAGATTCCTTGTTTGTTCACACAGTCTTGGCCAGTAAAGCTGGTTCTGATTTAGTTCAAATCCCAACTGCTACAATACATCGTTTATTGTTTTAGTATTCCCTCCAACCAAGACTGACATTATATGAAAGTTATGTTTATTTCAATCTAAAATGGCCCAGAGTTGTTTGATCCAGCGTTCATTTGAAGAGACATTATTATGAAGCTACAGCTGCTATGTTCAAACCAGTTTGAAAATGAGAAGCATGAAAACACAAAACATGGAGGAAACATGCAGGAGTCACATCCTGACTAATTGGAATAATTAAAGTTTGATGTGTGGAAATGAAGACGTTCTCCTTGGTTTTAGAAGCTCGCCGTGTTGCTGATGGTTCCTCTTTGTCTTCATTATTCACATCTGCTTATTAAACAAAAAGGTTTCACGGCTTTTAGCCTTAATGTGATTCTTGATTAAAATGTCATGCTTTTATTTTCCTTCCTTTAAATGTTTTTTGCTGTTGAATAAAACCTTGTAGAATCTTTTTATCAACAGGTTTGAGTGTTTCAGTAGATGCATTTATCACTTCATCTTGTTAGGAAATAGGAAGCATGTAGGCGAGTCACCTCGGCGAGGTCAATGGCCTAACGACGCCTCTCTGAATGTTTGCCTTCAAGGATTTAGGTGAATTTAAAGTGACGTGGTCATTGTTTCTGAGATTAGAGCTGTTTAAGGTACTACATCCTCACAGTTCTCCATCTGTAAGAGAAACATTACAGGGAAACGTTATCAAGTGAACAGTCAGACATATTTTGGGGCAGGAACTGATTGAATTCTTCCTAGTGTTAACTAATGAGTCAACATTACAGGAACGTGTAGCTGCTATAAATGATCAACTGGAATCTTGATTTGAACATCTTTGAGTTTTTATGGAAATTACAGCAGCTGAGAAAAATTAAAACCATGACAGATAGTCGACTCCTCCAAATCACTTTCATGGAGAAGGTGTAGAAACTCCAGCAGCTTCTGCAATCATCTGTGAAAGAACGGGTCGCTGTCAGGAGCTCGGTGAACTCCAGCGTGAGACCATGGAAGGATGCTCCCTGTGCAGGAAGTCCAGCCGGGACTTTTTCTCACTAACAATATTCCACATCCAGCTGTTAGTAGCATCATGACAAACAGGAAGTGATTGGAGACAACAGCAGCTCAGCCATGAAGTGGTCGGCCATGTAAGATCACACAGCTGAGTCAGTGCATGCTGAGGTCCACAGAGGTCACCAAGTCTGGTTCGCCATTTTTGCGACTTCCAAAGCAGTTTGATGGATGTTCGGTTTGGCTTTGAGGAAGAATATTGTGGAGCAATTTGTCGAACACCAAGCGAGATCCAAAAATAAAAAATGTTTCCAGTTTATTCAAACTAAACTGATCTCACAGCTTTCCTGCTTGAAATCAAAACCTTGGTAGAAGAAATCAGAGAAGGAATCAACCTCAGGGAACTAGAAACATAACAGATCTAAACAAGCACTTGAGTAAATGGGCCAAACCAGATCAGGCCAGAACTGTTCATGGGTTCTACAGTAAGTCCATTAAAGTCTTTCCATCAGTTTCCTTCTATCCACACTGGGGGAGCTGGTGCTTATCTCCAGCGGTCAGTGGGTGAGAGGCGGGGTCACGCTGGACAGGTCTCCAGTCCATCACAGGACAAACAATCAAGCACACACTCACACCTGAGGACAATTTACCAGTTAACCTACCAGTCACGTTTTTGGACTGGGGGGGAAGCTGGAATACCCAGAGAGAACCCATGCATGCCCTGGGAGAACATGCAGCAAGAGCCCAGGCTGGGATTCAAACCCAGGAACTTCTTGCTGTAGGGCAACAGTGCTACCAGCTGCACCACCATGCAGCCATTTTTCTTTTAGTGTGGTGAAAACTTTAACATAAATGACGTTTCACTAATCAGTCACAATAAATCCCAGCAGAACATTTTAATTCATTCCCTGGATTGGGTCAAACTGGAATACGCCTCTAAACCCGGAGCTCTAAACCTTTCAGTCTGGAATATAATCAACACTGTTGGCAAAGGCAATCATTTTAAATCTGATTTATAGCTTTTCGTTATGTGTTTTACTGGATCAGGCTCAGAGAACCTTCACCATCAGGTGCTCAGATAATAACCTCTATTAGCACATAACTGATCACATGATTGATCTGGCTTCAGCCGACTTTAACGCTGATCTCATGCAGCCTTCAGCCTCATGATCAATACTTTGATATCAGCAGGAAAATTACAAATTCCTCTTATCAGCAGCTGTTTGATCACCAGGCTCGTCGTTGGCAGATCAATACCTTCTCACTGATGGAAGAGCGGAGCGTTGGTGAAGTTCAGGACCTATTGATCACCTCAGGCTTTCATCTTTTACATTTAAAGCAGAAACGCATCAGAAACAGGGAAGCATGAGATGAATTTACAGGAGAAGACGTAGGCATACGTTCACACCAGACAGATCCATTAATGGTGCAACTAATACAAACAGACTGAAACCAACTGGAAATGAGGGGGCTGAAAACCAGCAGCAGCAGCAGAGGAGAAGATATTAAAACTCGTCTGAGTGGAAACTGGAGCTGCAGATTATTTTTAAACTATTCTCTTTTTCTGGAAGGTGCTGTTTTAGGGTTTGGATCAATTCTGAAAAAAAATATCGGATCTGTTCTTATTTTAAAAAAAAGGCAAGTTGGAAATTATTTATACTATTTGATCTTTCATGGTATGACATCACTCCAACCCTTCTTCTAGTTGCTAAACACCTTTCTGCTTCCTCTGGTTTATCTTTACTGATGAGCTCCAAGGCTACGGAAGGCCTCCTTGTCATTACCCTAATCTTTGGGTGCATTCAGACCAGAAAAGTCCTTTGGTCCGTTTGTTTGGTCCGGACCAAAAGCGGACTTTATTTTTTTTTTCGTTTTGTGCGGTTCGTTTTCACATTGTACTTTTTGCAGTGAACTATTACTTGAAAACAAAGCCACATGGGTGACGATCGTTGCTCCTATTGGACAGAAATGACAGGGGTGGGACAGAGCACAGAAAACTATCATAGAAGTCCTGCGTGAAGCATTTCTGTTCTGCATATTTCACAGTTATTACAGCTGCAGAATCACTGAGTGTGAAGAGCAACTCATTCAACACAGGTTTGAGACGTTCCATTTCTAATTTTGAAACGCCATCAGCAAATGCATGCTGCAAGCTGAAGGAGAGGACGTGCTCTGAGATCCTGACCCACAACATGCTGGAGGCAGCGTTGCTAAGCAACAGACGGCGGATCAGGTATGACTTCAGCACAACGTTCAGTTTTGCTCTGGGTGCGACGGCTTGTTAAGTCCAAAGAGGCGTATGTTTTCTGCAGTTGGGTCAGATTGAGGCCGCTTCGTATTCACACCAGAAGCGAACCGCACCAAAGTTCGTTTGGACCCCCCGCCTCCAGCCATGAGTGTAGCTGTGCTGCTATTAACATTACTGTGTTACATTAATTCACATTGAAGTAATCTGCGTGAGATGATAAAAAATACATAGAAAATAAAAAAATAAACTAAATACTGATGACGTTTGTATTGAACCACGTATTGAACCACGGACTTATGACCTTTGAAGTTAGTTTTAGGTTGTATGTTGGATCTTTGTGCTCCATGGATTCAACGGGTTTTCCTCCAGTTTGACCCGAGGCAGGCAGTCTGATTATGGGCAGCTGCTCTCTGCCTGCTCCCTCCTCCTGCAGACGCTGGTTCTCTGAAGGACCGTCAAAGAATGTCAGAACCAAACATGTTGTTTCATGGTGGTTTTGTTTTGTATGTTTTGGGTGAAATGTTTGTGCCTCTGAACAGCTGATTTTATGAGTGATCAGCTGGTTTAGGATGTTATTAACTACAGCGCTCTGCCTGCATGTAATTCAGAAAGCTGATTTGTCCTTTTTCTGTTCTGTCAGCCTTCAGCCATGATTTATGATCTATAAATGGTAAAATTACATGTTTGACCTGCTGGCCACTGTGGTCCTTAATATTATTGTAGTTGCTCTTGAGTTTTATTAACGTTTCCCTGCACTGTCTCAATGAAAACCTTCTCATTCCTGGTCCCACGGCCAATCAGTGAACAGCAGTCTGTTCACGCCACATGAGTCCCGACTCAGGCCCGGTCGTACCTGTTCAGGAGCAGGGACCAAAATGCTAGGTACCGGGTATGGAAAAAGCAGTAATGGAAACGCTCACAAAGCCAGCCGAGTGGAGTCAAGTCGGGCCAAATCAAACCACTGGAAAAGGGGCATTAGACACTAAGTGAAGATTTACAGTACAGCTAACTGGCTTTAACAGAAAACTGCAGTTCCGCACTTGACTATTTCACCTAAATACATAAAGTTTCTCTCTGCAGACATTAGTGTTTGCAAGCACCTGATGTGCATCTGAATCTAGCACAAGAAATAAGGTTTGAAGATACAAGTTGAGTGCATCAGTCTGCAGCAGAGAAACAGCAGCCCTGCAGGACCAGTCGAGTATGATTAATAGGAGTCAGAACAGATTTCTGGGTGAAAACTGTCCTATAGATGAATAAGACGCATTCATGTTCAGATAACAAACCTTGAAGTAAATCACATAACAGATTACTGTATTTAATCTAAAAAAAACATCTCTCTGTAAGAAGATAAAACAACTCAAGCTCTTCCAAAATCCTAGGATCCATCAATCACTGAACTGTTAGGAGGAAACACGATGGCAAGAACAAGACTGAATATTCGTGTTTGGAGCAATAAAATGTCTCTTTCTCCTTTATTTGCTGCTTGTTTAAAGAGAAAAAACTTAAAACAGCAACAACACTGTAATAAATTGTGTTGCTGCAGCCTGAGGATAATACAGTTTCTTTACGGCCTTAAAGTGTTTGTTTAACCCAGGCCAGAGGCCCCCAGACTGCGCTGGACCAGCAGCTCCTGATAGATGGAACCAAGAGTTAACTCAGACGTTTATGATCCCCACCAGCAGGTTGGTCACTGTGACCTAAAATAAAACATCTTAAACTATTAAACTTTCCCACAAGGATTTAGGCTTTTATTCACAGTCCTGCAAGATGAACCTGCAAGAAAACAGTATTTCTCACCCAATACCCATTGAATAAAATAAAATCTAAAATTAAATGAAATTACATAAAAACACCATCTAGCTGTTATTCCAGAGGGTGCAGGTTTGTTTTTATACCTCTCCAGACTGTGGTGAGGGTATCTTCAGAGGGGGAGAGTTCCATGTCAACGAACTGAAAAATGTTCCAACATAATAGACCCCACTGTCCCAGACCTGCAGTTACTTCTGGAGACCAGCTAAGGTGGAACCTGGTACTACGTTCCTGAAAGTAACCTGTAATTTTCAGAAAGCACCACATTACAAGTTGCCTAATAATAGAGCCTGGTTCTGAAAGTGACCTCCTGTGTTCTGGAATATAACCAACAGGTTCCAGAACTATTACCTGTATGTTGTGGAACATAATCTGTTGGTTCTGAAAAGTAGCCTCTAAATTCCTGGAAGTACCAGGTTAGAGGTCACCAAAAACAGAGCCTTGATTGCAAAACTAACCACCCAAGTTTTGGAATACATCCTGTTCCAGAACACAAGCTGTAGGCTCCAAAACACCTGTAGGTTCCAGAACACAACCTGTAGGCTCCAAAACACAACCCGTAGGATCCAGAACACAACCTGTAGGCTCAAGAACACCTGTAGGATCCAGAACACAACCTGTAGGCTCCAGAACACAACCCATAGGATCCAGAACACAACCTGTAGGCTCCAGAACACAACCCATAGGATCCAGAACACAACCTGTAGGCTCCAGAACACAACACATAGGATCCAGAACACAACCTGTAGGCTCCAAAACACAACCTGTAGGATCCAGAACACAACCTGTAGGCTCAAGAACACCTGTAGGATCCAGAACACAACCTGTAGGCTCCAGAACACAACCCGTGGGAACCAGAACACAACCTGTAGGCTCCAAAACACAACCCATAGGATCCAGAACACTACCCGTAGGCTTCAGAACACAACCCATAGGATCCAGAACACAACCTGTAGGCTCCAGAACACAACTCGTAGGATCCAGAACACAACCTGTAGGCTCCAGAACACAACCCGTAGGATCCAGAACACAACCTGTAGGCTCCAGAACACAACCCGTAGGATCCAGAACACAACCTGTAGGCTCAACAACACCTGTAGGATCCAGAACACAATCTGTAGGCTCCAGAACACAACCCATAGGATCCAGAACACAAGCTGTAGGCTCAAGAACACCTGTAGGATCCAGAACACAACCTGTAGGCTCCAGAACACAACCCGTAGGATCCAGAACACAACCTGTAGGCTCCAAAACACAACCCATAGGATCCAGAACACAACCCATAGGATCCAGAACACTACATGTAGGCTCCAGAACACAACCCATAGGATCCAGAACACAACCTGTAGGCTCAACAACACCTGTAGGATCCAGAACACAATCTGTAGGCTCCAGAACACAACCCATAGGATCCAGAACACAACCTGTAGGCTCAAGAACACCTGTAGGATCCAGAACACAATCTGTAGGCTCCAGAACACAACCCATAGGATCCAGAACACAACCTGTAGGCTCAACAACACCTGTAGGATCCAGAACACAACCTGTAGGCTCCAGAACACAACCCATAGGATCCAGAACACAACCTGTAGGCTCCAGAACACAACCCGTAGGATCCAGAACACAACCTGTAGGCTCAACAACACCTGTAGGATCCAGAACACAACCTGTAGGCTCCAGAACACAACCTGTAGGCTCCAAAACACAACCTGTAGGATCCAGAACACAACCTGTAGGCTCAAGAACACCTGTAGGA